CCCCCCCTCCACACCCAACCTTCAGCGGGGCCCCCCTCTCAATGATCCCCGCCTTACCCTCAACTCTCACCACCAAGGATCAAGAAAGGCCTATCCAAATAGAAAATACTAAATCTGTCCTTTCCACGACCACTCGAGTCAGCCAAACATCTGAAACGAACATTACTTTTGTCGGCGTCGTCTGCTGTCTCAAGAGCCGGAAGGTCGACGGGGACGGTACGTCCAGCGTCCTCGGCGACGGTGCGCCCCAGCCCACCGAAGAGCTCCACCAAAAGGCTTCAACCCTATCACCCGCCTCACTCTTCACAGCTGCGTGAGAAGCGAGCCGCGATACATAGCGAGCGAGCCCGTGAGTGGCGGCGGTGGCGGTGGCAGCGGCGGCGGCGGCGGCGGCGGCGGTGGCCACCGGAGGGGGGCGTCGTTTTCAAGTGGGTGCGCACAATGCTGCTGTGCATATACTCTACGGCAGCAAGCGCTCCGGGGCCAGGAAATAGGGCCGAAAACCACGCGCAGAGACCCTTGGAGCCGCCGTTCGTCTCGCGCCAACCATCTCCCGTCTCACCCCGTCGTCCTTACTCTACCAATATACTTTCACACTTCTAGCCTTTTCTCTACATACATACGCGCATGGTGCAAACCTACCCAACTCATCGGAGCAACAAGAAAACTGGCCTGCGTGGGTTTTTGCAGCTCGAGCCGTGACAAATCGTTTCGAAGAAAGGGGTCGGATCAAACTCACGAAGCAGACACGAGCAGATGGCACAGACCGCCGGCCGGCCGGCAGGTACAGTCAGCAACGCAAGTGAGCGCGTGCCCTTCGGCTTCTTCCAGCAATACCTCAAGACGACAGGCTAGGCCGCATCCGTCGCGATCTTGCGCCCATGGGTCGCAAAAGACAAAACACCCCGTGATAAAAAAAAAGTCTTCCCGACGTATACGGCGCAAAAATCACACAAAACCCAACCTTTGTCGGAACGCTCTCCAGCGAATCGACGGCTCCAACGCCGCCACCGTCGCCATCTTCGCTGCAGGGACGACAATCGAGCTTTGATCCAGGGGGGCGCGGTAGTATCTTTTCCCGACCTATGGCAGCCAGTCCTCGTCGCTCTCCCCGTCTTTTCCCTCCCGTCCTCTCCTCTGCCGCCGGCCCCCGCTAGTAGTCGGACTCCTCGACGATCGCCACCCCGCAGAAGGCCAACGGCAGCGGCATCGATCTCCGCGACGATGCGGTCGCCGACCGGCTGCCGTGGACGGGCGCGTAGCCGGGAATGGCGGCGGCGGCGGCGGCGGCGGTCTCGGGGAGATTCAGGTGCCGGCAGATGGCGTTGCAGCGGTGCCCCTCCAGGAAATCCCGCATCCCTAGAAGGCGTAAGCAAGATTTTCGGTATGCAACGGGTCCAGGAGGGGACGGGGGCGGCACGAGGACGTGGGAAGGGAAGGCCAGGATAGGCCGGGGTGGGTAGCCTGCTTCCTCGCGTCTACCGCAGCAGTTCGAACCTTATGTGCCGCTAAGCAGGGCTACTAGCGTCGCACGAGATAATGACGTACAATAAAAAAAAATGCGGTGAGCGGTTTGGAAAATACGATGCCGATGCACAGTTTGTATCGTTTCGTGACCGGAGCAAACGCCGGCCGTTGCTTGTTTAATGCGTTCGCAGTTCGCTCTTCACGTCATGTACGTATCAAAAAAGGAAGAAGCGAGATCCGGGTGATGTGCTCGGGGGCGATTCCGCGGTAGCCACCTCCTTAAGGATGACTGCATGATCACACTCCCAATGAGAACTGCCCGGAAATGGCGAAGGTCGAAGGTAATTGCGAAGAGACGGCACCACAGCGTTCAATATCTCACGCTTTTGTTGTCCTTCGTGCGGCCTCGTTTCGCTCGGCGTCTGTCCATCGACCCACACACCGTTTATCCTCGAACTTGTAACAAAACGAAAAAAAAAAGAAGTCGTCGCCGTGCGCACTGTTGTTCGGCGTGGTCTTGAATGTTGGAATCTGCAGCAATAAAGCGCAAAGCCCGTTCAGCTACCCTGTCATCCACCAACCTGCTCTTGGGCACCAGACATCCGGCAACCGAGACTCGACACAAATTTGTGGTCGCCGAATGACCCGCACCAACCCACACTCAGCAGAAAGCCAAAAAAAAAACAAAAAATAAGGGGAACAAAAGTTGAAAACTCTCCCAACCACCCGTGGAAAAAAAGCACCCCTGAACCCTGTTGCAGGTGAACGGAGTTCCATTGTGCTGCCACCGCTCGCACTCGCGCTCTCGCTCTCGCTGTCAGCCTCTTTCTAGCTCCGAGTCTCACTCTGAGACGCATTCTTGGTCTCAGTCTCAGTCTCGGTCTCAGTCTCAAGCTCACTCTCACCCTCACCCTCACATTCATTCTCGCTCTCAGTCTCACTCACTCTCAACTATATTCTCACTCTCAGTCTCACTCTAACATATATTTTCACCCTCACCCCCCCGGTGTTTGCCATCGGGGTTGGGTTTTTGTCGCTTGGCAACGACGTTGTAAAACAAGCCAATTCACTTCGTGAACTCGGCAACCAGGTTACCGGGAGTCTTTTTACCTCTGGTTTTTCTTTGGCGGTAACCATAATGGTGGTCGAGTAGATCATGTTGTGCGGGGTGGAGAACCCTCGCTCCGCGCAAGGGGGATGATCGCACCACGTTGTGTTAAAATGGTCAAGCACCCTCGAGGCAGTTACACAGTGCTTACAACTGTCTCTGGAAGTGAAAGCACCAGAAAGTAAATTAATTCATACGCAGCTGTCATCCGTACGCAAGGAAGTAAGCACAAGATGCCGAACACCCTTAGCAGGATGCAACGCACCCTTCATGCGACTCGCCGAATATCTCACGGCGCTTCGCGCTTGGTGATGTGAGGGCCTGGTCCGGCGAGAACCCGGCGTGCTCCGTCCCGGCTTTGTAGGGATGCGAGGTCAATGGTCTAACGACTACGGCATGCACGACTATGAGTACACCCCCCTCACGCTCACTCTGTCATACTCTCACTCTCACCCCCATCTTAACTCACGCTGTCACTTTCACTGTTCACTGTCACTGTTCACTGTTCACTGTTGACTGTTCACTGTTGACTGTTGACTGTTCACTGTTGACTGTTGACTGTTGACTGTTGACTGTTCACTGTTTACTGTTAGGGTCCCTTTCACTGTCGCTGTTCGCTGTTCACTGTCCACCGTCCACTGTCACTGTCACTGTCACTGTCACTCTCATCCACAATCTGACTCTCACTCTCACTCTCACTCTCGCTCTCGCTCTCAGTCCAAGTCTCATTCTGACCTTGAGTGCCCCTGTCGCCGGCGCCGTACGTCCGCAACCTGCTGTGGACACAAGGGTCGGTGATGTTGTTGCCCACTCCTTGCACGTCGCACACCTAAGGCGACACACGCGGCGTGAGAGGCAAGCGAAAGAACAAAGCGCGCACGTCCTCATTTCGTACATCACGAAAAGCAATATCTGAAGAATAGCAGGTTTGTGCATTCCGATGACCTTGTTCTCGATAAGCGTTCCCGAGAATTTTACCAGTTGGCCTTCCGTGTTTTCCGCGTAAACGTCGCGCTCAGTTTCACGGTTCGAAATACTGCGTAGAAACCAAGACGAGACACAACCACATATCTTCCCCATCACAACGTTTTCGTTCGAACGCAGTTGTGTCCTGGCCAACAGCGGCAGCAGAACAATTCAGACGAGGTGGGCATGTGACTGATGTCGCTCGAAAGCCTATGCATAGTACGGAAACATACCGTTAAGTTTCGTCGACAAAATGTGGAACACAAAACGAGGATCGAGGTGCACATCCCGCATGCCTTCGACAAACGCGAAGCATCTTGACCCCCCGCCGTACAGCAGTGTCGTCGAAAAATCAAGGACGTGTGCACATCCCGCGATCGATGAAGAAGGAACGAAAGAAAGAAAGCAAAAAAAAGCTGCACAATCAGAGTGTGTAGCACACCTGCGACTTGAGAAACCCAACGCTCCACGTGCGATACCTTTGCGCATGAATGCATGCATGCATGCGTGAACCTACGGACAGTTCGGTATTGTGTCGTGTCACCGTGCGTGACCAAACGCCGTGAGTGTGTTCGTTGGTCCGTGGGACTGCTGATTCGAGTGACCCACCAGAGATTCGCCCCCGGTTTGGTGATGCGTGAAGTGGGAGAACGCCTGAGCCACGGTCCACCAGCACCGCTGCTCGTCGTCCAGGCCAGACTTGTTGAGGATGTACCCGTTGTTGCCATTGTACTAGACAACGGAGGTGGTATTGGAAAAGGAGGGGGGCGGGGTGGGCAGTCGGGAGAAATGAAGATGGCGAACGGCTGCATGTGGGCCGTGCGGAAAGGGGGAATTGTCGCACGGGGAACCAAAAAGAGAGAAAATCACGAGAGCTGCGGGGGGGGGTCCGGGAGAGGGTCGCCCCCGACGATCGGCTTGATACATGAACGTGCGCTGCAATAAAAAAAAAGGGGGCAAGCATCGTCTGAAGGACGACTCGGGGCATCCGCGGCTATCTCCCTGGTGCACGTGGTAGCTGGTAGGTGTTGGGGAGTGAAGGGGGCAGTTTACCTGTATCGCGTTGACAATCGAGAGCATTTTTATTCTTGGCCAACTGCTTCTCTCCTCATTTGCCTCCAATTGGCTTTCACAGCAGTAGCCAATCTCTCCTTGTCACTCTTGGTCGGGGGATTGGTTCAGGCTTTGCTCCGTCGGGTGCAAAACCTGCCTCTCCTTTTCGCTACTGCTTCCAGGAGTCTCTCTCTCTCCTCCTCCCTCTATGTATTTATATAAATATCCATCTTTTTTCTATCTCTCTGTATATATCCCCATCTCTCCCTCGAAAGCGCTTGGGACTCTTCCTGCTGCTCTCTCTCCCTCCTTTCTCACACTTGATGCTCCCTTTCTGTCTAATCAACCTCTCTGCTTCAGTCTTCCGCAGGAAGGGACGAGGAAAGGCCTAGAGACCGCCAATAAGCGTAGCGAGCATCAAACAGCACATCAACATATATGTGCACTACACCTTGGTGGTAAACACTTTTAGCCCGGAAACTAGGCCGCCTCCTGCTACACGCCCCCGCCCCCTGACAACAGGTGCGTCTGCAGCAACGGAAACAAGTTTTCCGCATTATTTTTTTCCCAGCAAGACCGCCGCTCATTCACTAGTCAGCCAACTGTAGCGGGATCAGAGCCAACCAAATGAAGGGCACCAAAACTCTAAATGACAACACACTTTTTTCTCACACATTTTCCCCCGTTACGAAAGACTCACGTTGTTTCATTGGCCAGCCGGTCAGCGCGGTCGACGCAATTAATGAAACACACATACACAACGACAGTAATGAGGGTAATTCTTTTGGGAGTGACGGAGACGAAGGAAAGGGAAAGGGAAGAAAGGAGGACAACATGGAGGAGTGGAAAGGGTTTGAGCCAGATGACCTTCCCCAAAACAAAAAAACGCAGGGCTAGGGAAGAACTGCCCAGAGATTCTTGTCAATATGAGGATCAGAATGATGGTAGCGAAAACAAAGAGGATATTGGTGAAAGTACTCCAAACTGAACTCGAGTACAAGGTAATAGCCTTGGTAGACGCGTGCAGTTTTCTTCTGTTGCCAACGTTTCTGTCTTTGATCCGAATGATAGTTTAGCCTCCCCCATGCTTCCCCCTCACGGGGTCCCAGTTCATGGCAGATAGAAGTGTTTTGTGTTTTCAACCGCACTAAGACTGACGTCATTTCATTGGTCAGCCGGTTAGCGCGGTCCATGCAAATAATAAAACACACACACACACACGCACGCATGCACCTTGAGGTACTTTCCTTCGAGGAAGGGCTCGACCAAGAGGTATCGGAACCCGCCGAGCTCGCACGGGTCTTCCAAGCGGTACACGTCGCACTCTGCCACCTACGGAGTATAGCGAAAAACACCAAAAAACGAAAAAGAAGGCAGGTCGTTGCGATATTGCTGTACCTCTGCCAAATTGGCGTTGAGGGGCGGGGAAGAGGCACAAGATGCCCAGCCGACCGATTAACAAACTCATTTTATCTTTTCTTCCGGTAGCAATGTAGAGCATGAACCGTGACACTCCCCTACACTGATGTCAATAACGAAGCCATAGACGGTTCAACGTACTACAGGAAACCTCGCCGAAAACAGCGCGCGCGACAGAGGGAGAGAGAGAGAGGGAGAGAGAGAGAGAGGCCCGCCAGTGCGTGTGGATGAAAGAAGCTCGGGTTGAAGGCTAACGTACCTGAAAAAAAAATACATTGGGCGTCCCCCCAAATAAGGCGGTGGTGGGGCAGCCGACAACGACGACATGAGCCAACCCCCGCTTATTCGATGTAGAAAAAACTTGGTTATTCCGTCTATGCTAAATAGCCAATTTCACACGCCTATTTCACACGCCTTACACAAGGGCGACCGACTTACGCAGACCGCCTCAGTCGGGGACCCCCACCGCTGTACAGACATCCTCACTCTCGCGGAGGGCGGGCGTAGAGGCGGCGTGTCTACAACGCGAAAAAAACATCTCTCACCTGCAGTCCCCATGGTTTACTGCGAAGGGCGGCGTAGGGGGGCGTCTTGGCCACCTGGCCGACGGCGAAGGACGTGACCCGGCTATTGAACAGAGTGGCCTGCTGGCGGGCGAGCCTGTGGCAGAGGAGCTCCTGCTTGAGGCCCCTCACCTGCTGCGCGACGCTCACGTAAAACCTGAACACAAGAAAAAAATATGCGCCCGCCGACCGTAGACAGGCAGCAGTGAGTGACGGCATGGTAGAGGACGCAAGCTTATGTGTGTACGTGTACATGTATCGCCCTCATGGACAGTGTTTTTGTGGGCATTTGTTGTGTCCACACAAACAAGCTCGTCACGTATGCATACAACAACAACAAAATGGCAGAAGCCGGGGGTCCAAAACAATCTTTCGGGACCCTCGGAGGGAGGTACAGAAAATGATGGCGGCAAAACGTCGGTCATGGTCAAGTCAGAGCCACCAAACGTGCCGCCCGCCGCGGAGCGGGGGGCTGAAATCACTCACAATCCACGCCTACAACCCGCCGCGAACACGAACCGGTGGCATCTTGTGCGTACCCTGGCGCGTGCCGCATGGATCGCACGATGTACACTGCCGTTCGAGGCCAACGTCAGCAGTAGAACTCATACGAGCAAACTAAATTTACCAAGCACTGCTGCTGAAAGTGTGGCCATGTTGGTGGTATGCAGCGTCAATGCGTCCACCGTACGAACCTGCTCTCCCAAAGATGCCAGGCTTACTACTACAAAACACGCATATGTTCGGAAATGCAAGGGCCATTCGAATACCTCAAACACCCATCTGTTCGAAATTACAAGGGTCATTCGAATACCTAAATTTGATTGTCCAAAAGGTCCCTAGATAGGAGTGGTACACTAGAACAAAACCTAACCTACAACGTAGCTCACTTGCTCTGCTTGCCCACGAGGTTGTTAACCTTCCTAGACCGCCCGCCGGCGCCAAGATTCCACATCCGGAAGCAGTGCCGCATCCCACCGACGGCGAAAGGCCTCTCCCGGATGCTCACCATCAGGTCACGTTCCTGCACTTCCAGAGCGGATCCCTGGTACAGGCATTGCCCATAAACAACATAGTCATGTATATGCATGGATAAAAAAATCGATACCTTGGTGGAGAGCTCATGCGTGGTGGCGTTTGGTGGATCGGAGGAGCGAGTAGCTGTCGCCCTTTTTAGCTGTCTCTAATACTGTGTGCATCCATAGAGGGTGTGCGCACATACTTGTCCCCCTGCCCCCCAGTCTGTACCACGAGCAGGTTAACTTCTTCTTGACCCTGCGAGCGGCGAGACGGAGGGGGTTGTGTAGTGGTCTGACAGCAAGAGGTTCAGGCACACGGTGTGAGAACAAGCGCATGAGATCTTAAGAAAAATCAAAGAAAAATCACTGCCGTCTGCTTTACACGCAAGCAGGATTCGAAGCCAACTCTCCAAGGCGGGGCGGGGGGGTGGGGGGAGATCCTCATCTTTCGCATCCCTTGGTAGTTTGACGTTGACCACGCGTCCTCGAGAAGACGGAGCATAGGTTCCGACAGGACTCATCACCAAAGTCCAATCGTTCCTTCCTACTTTGCCAAAGGTGGCTCCCTATCCTACCTATCATGTTGGCATCACATCCCGCCTCTTCAGCTCACTTTTCCAATTCTCCTGATGGCGTCTAGGTCAACGAGATTTACAACACTGCGACATTCGAGGCCGACGGCTGGGGGCGCAACAGCGTTCGCAGCTATTTCTACAGAAAAAAGAAAGTAAATATGTTGAGTAGAGCATGGCATGCAATCGGGGAAGTTGGCGTAGTATTGGAGTAGGCGGCAATGTCGTAGCAGCTGTCGGCGCCGGGGTGGAGTGCCATCAAACCATTCATATTGACACGCCGTTGCCAGTGCACGCAAGCCCAAACATGAACCACCAAGAGCAGGATAAGTGCAACCGCAGAGGGTTCGGCGTTGGGGTTAGCGAATATAGTCTGCCTACCCCCTCCCTGTTGAATTTCCTCATAAATCAAATTTCTCGAGAAGGTGGTCCCGGGGACGTCCCCCCCCCCCCCCCCCCCCCCCCCCCCCCCCCCCCCCNCCCCCCCCCCCCCCCCTGCGAGGTCAATGGTCTTACGACCACGGCATGCACGACAATGAGTACACCCCCGCTCCCCACATCTCGTGAGGGTTGTCACCTCACCTGGAGGTAGAGCTTGTCGCAATAATACGTGTCCTGGTTCGTATTGTTCCACTCCGCTTCCTCGACGTCCTCCAGCGCAAGGGGCTTCGGAACCCTGTCATGGTGGTCGTCGTTGTTGAGACAGACTTGTGGTGTTGTTGCTGTTGCGTGGAAGTTGTTAGGGTCGCCGCTAACGTTGTTGGAGTATTGTTGGTACTGCAGGCATCGGCTCAGGGCTATATAGTGTCGGAAGAGAGCGGCTTGACTACTGCCGTGATGCGAGACAAGATTCGCAAGAACGAACATCGCATCGGGCACAAAAAAAATGAGACTTCGGTAGGGCGGGGTGACGGTCGCGTTTTTCTCGTGGAATTATAAGTACCGTTTCAGGTTCCCATCGAAGCACAAAGTACACATTGCTGCGGAAACAAGCGGTCCGTTCATTATCGAAAGACGTCCGTTGAAGAGGAACAGCAACACAAACGCTGCCTCGTCGTAAGGTGTGTCTGGCAGTTCAAACCGACGTACGCCGGAAACTTTACATACTTTGTGCTGTACGACGAGCACAGGGAGCTCACGGCCGACGAGATGTTGCTGAGCGTGCTGCTGAGCGTGTCCGGCCGACCGTTGGTTCTCGGGGCCCTCGACAGACGGTCCCGTCCCCCTCCCGACAACGCCAGCCTGGCGTGGTGGAATGTCCCCTGCGGTGATGTCATCGCCGCCACCCCCGTCGTCATTGGTTAGGAAACAGCGACATCAGCTACTACCTCAACTCGCACCACGTCGACTTCCAAGAGTGGGCCAATATGTTGAATCATACGTACGTACGTACATACTTACATACATACATACATACATACATACATACATACATACATACATACATACATACAAACAGGAAACGTAAATATGAACACAGAAAGACTACCCGTTCGAGTTACATACATACATACATTAGGAAACGTAAATACAAACACAGAAAGGCTACCCGTTCGAGATACACCCACAGTCGAACGGGATGTGTTGGAGCCTTCGCAGTGAGTGGAGGGTAACCGGCTGGGTACTGGGCTTATTTCGAGTCAACTAAAGCCGATACACTGAAAAACAACCATCAGTGATGCCAGCAGGTGCTAATCACAAAAAGACTGTATAGGAACAAATGCCGCAAGACGTCTCCCCCGTAGTTTCTTCTATTTACTGGGTGGAACGACAACAACATCGGGGAGAAATCCTCCGTAATGTCGTGTGATGCAATATTCTGCCTTAAAAAGGAACACGTAGCAGGTTCGCTTGACAACTGGCTTGAACTATTTATTGCTGCTGTTAATCTGACGATGGTGGTTTTTTTTTTCCCGAGCCAGAGAAGGGCATTAGGAGGAGACAGACACGTGGATGGATCGGCGGGCGGAGAAGATGGATCTTTCTGTGAGCTGGATTCGGGTTGCGCTTTCAACAGCAGTTGTGCACGTTGCAATGTGATCAAACCTAAATAACTAATCTCTGCAGCACGCGTCACAGAAAAAATCTGTCTCGCAGCAGTGTTTTAGCCGAAGGCATGCGCAGCAGAGAAATAAGAACAGTATTACACACTGCAATGCGAACAATTATATAGTGCTCTTCAGCATGTGTTACAAGAATATGCTTTCTCGCAGCAATATTCGACGGGACCCCCCCCCCTCGATGGCAGCTCTTTAGGAGAGAAAGATACGGTACACACACAAGTGGCTGTGCAGCCAACGAAGGGGTGTGGCTGAACACGACCGACTACCGGCCGATCCCCTCTCCACAGGCTGTCTGGGCTGGATCAGGGACGTACAACAGTAAAAAAATCCGAAAAAACTGAGGAAAAAAAACATACAAGTATCTCCCCATCGAGTTGGTCCGAGAAAACACATTTTTTCACTCGGAACAGAAAAACAACACCACAAAAAACACGTGAACGAAGTGACACTCACCAGGCGTTCTCCAAGGTAGGGAACAACACAAAAAAAGCTCTACCTAACCATACCCTGAGGCAGTTGCAAAGGTGTTTTGCATCGCCTTTGGTGTGTGGTGTCTTGGAGAGAGGGGGGGGGGGGGTACTCATAGTCGTGCATGCCGTAGTCGTTAGACCATTGACCTCGCATCCCTACAAAGCCGGGACGGAGCACGCCGGGTTCTCACCGGACCAAGCTCTCACATCACCAAGCGCGAAGCGCCGTGAGATATTCGGCGAGTCGCATGAAGGGTG